CACGGACGAATGCATGGACGCGGTGGAGATCAACAACAGTAATCTCCTGGCCGACATCGAGAAGTTCTACGACAGCCTCAGACAAGATGGTGTTATCGCAGCGGCATTGGAGCTAGGATTCTCGTCAAGAATACTCCTCATGCGTATGCTCCAGCACTCGTCGGCGCGCGTACTCAGATGTAAGGCGGCTTACTCACTACCCATCTACGCGGACAAATCAATACTCGCAGGATCCAGGCACTCAAATAACGTGGCAAAGACGGTGGTGTACGCTGCATTGGCAAGAATTACTGGTCTGGATCTATGCATACCCAAGCCTGTACCGAGAGCGTGGTTCGATGACATCAGCAGAAGGGTGACGGGTAGCAAAGAAGCTGTTATTGATGGCATGGTAAAGACTACGAGGGAACTTCGAGGCGCACTCAAGGCACATGGTCTCAACTTGGCTGATAAATCCCTGCTCTTCTCAACGAACTTACAGGACAGTAAGAAGATTCAAAAGAAGCTCGCGGAGGCGAAGATCGACATCCAGACGGCGACAGAGGGCAGAGACCTCGGACATGACAGAGCAGCGAGAGGCACGACCAAGCGGGACACGCACGGCAAAAGGCTAAAAGGGGCCTTCAAACGGATGAGAGAAGTTTGAGAGGAAGCTGAAAAGAACAAAACTGCAAGTACGGACAGCGGTGTGCAACCAAGGGGCAATGGCATCGATGTTGTATGGAGCAATCGGACACGGACTGGCACCACATGCACTACTGCGGGCACGTCGGACGTATGCGCAAGCGATCAGACGTCCATGGGCGCGCAGATCCCTTACGACATTTCTGGCACTAGAAGGCCACGACCCTGCCCACTCGGTGATTGAAGGCCAGATCAAAGCATTCTTCGACGTCTGGTCGCACTCTTCAGAACTGAGACAACAAATCAAAAGGGCGTGGCCGAAGATTTATTTCAGATTATGGAAAGAAAAACCACAAAACAGATGGAGAGTACGTCGTGGACAACTCGGAGGTATCATATTAACGTTATGGGAGCTCGGCTGGGATACCAGAGGACCAACAAAGTGGCTGAGCCCAAGAGGCGAAATGTGGGCATTCCCAGAAGGAGAAGAAGATGGAGATCCAACAGATATCCTGGACGAAATTATGAGAACTCTGGACGAGCAACTTTGGGCAGGAGCTGCAGAGCACTACATGGGAAGAGGGCTCGAGAAGGGGGCGGACTGCCAAGACATGAAGGACCACCTGCGCCGACTACGAAAGCAACGAGAGCATCAAAAGTACTGAGCATTACTTACGGCGGCATGCGCGGGAACCTGGACGAGATCACGTACACACCAGCACTACCGCACGGACGACAAATGCGAATGTGGGGAGACCGAGACCGACGCGCACCGCATATGGGGGAGATGCAGCCATAGATTCCAACGAGGAGCGCATCAGCAGCAGCAGCAGCACCATCATAGGATGTGGCGATGGATCGGGAGGCGAGTATTCCAACGATCCAAGATACCGAAGATGTGGGTGGAGCTGGGCTATCATGCACGAGTCAAGCGGCACGCACAACATCAAGGCAGCAAAGATGGGAGCACTCCCTGGAGCAAGACAGACGAACAACAGAGCGGAACTATGGGCATTCTTAAGTTTCATTGACAGCACGAATGGCGTGGTGGAGTACTGGACGGACAGCGAAATACTCATGAAGGGCTGGACCATCGGAAGACACAACAGGCCGCACAGAGCAGGAGGCAACCAGGACATCTGGAGGAAAATTGGCAAAGCTATTCAAGACAGAGGCGGAAGCGAACAAATGATCACCGTCATGCACGTGAACAGCCACATGGAATGGGAGGAAGCTAGAGCAAAAGGAATACCACGACAAGTCTGGGCTGGTAATAAAGCAGCGGACGGCATGGCAGACAAAGGGGCAGCACTACATGCAATACCAAGCTCGACCATGGCCAACTACGAGTGGATAAGAGCAACGGCATGCATGGTGCGGAAAAAAAATCATGACAGCGACGAGGGAGGCAATTGAAGAAGACCACTCGAAGAAAGAGAAGCTAAAAGAGAGAGAGACAAAGAGTCAAAGTGAAGGAAAGAGAAGGAAGAAATCATAAAATCGAAATCCTGACGCAAGCGGACCCCCCAAGTACCACGCACACGCTCAAGAAGCTGGCAAAGGGGAAAGGCTGGAAATGCCCCAACTGCGAGCAGAAGATCCACAAGAAGAAGAGGATGGAATACATTCGAGAGTGGCTAGCCGAGGGGTGCAAAGGTCCTCCCGCACCAGAAGGAGCTCAGATAAGTATCAACGGGGCCACATCGCACGAGACGCACCCGCTGGTATGGGTCCCAGGCGAAAGACGGTCTGTATGCAGACTATGTGGAGGATCGGCGGCTGAATATGTATTGGAAAAAATGCGCAGCATATGCTTACGGCGGACTGGCTACAGTTCGGTGAAGTACAAGCTGAGGAGCTGGCTACAAGAAGCGCGTGAGGAGCAGTATGGACGACCAGAACAACACGTCGGTGGCGGAAAAGAAGAAGACGAAAGGGCCGAGTACCAAGAACATACGCAGGATCCTGAACAGCACGCCCGTGGAGAAAGAGAGGGGAAAGACCACTGGAAGGAACCAACCGAGGCAGACGAAATACAGGGAGAACAGGAAGATGGCGTTAGAGCGCAAAGCCCTAGTGTGCCATTGGGGCCACTAGGCACAGCATCGCCAAGTATGCTGGAAGGCGTTAGAGAGCAAAGTCCTAGTGTGCCATTGGGGCTACTAGGCAAAATGTCGCCACGAAATAACGGGGGTCCAGCGGAAAAGGGTGCAAACAACGTGAAGAAGGACGATGAGAACACGAGAACATATACCGAAGCTGAAGAAAACAGGACAAGCAGCCCGAGCAAGGGAAAGAAGAAACAGACCGGGACGGACAAAGAACCAGAAGAGAGAAAGGAAAAGACAAGAACGTGGAGATCCGATAAGAAGATGAAAGTAAAGAAAACACCACGAAGGAAAGCTATGGTAAGGGAAGATACACAAAAAGAGAGAGAACCAGAAGAAGGGGAAGACATCGACCCTGAAGACCGTGAGCATCGAGTAAAGATGGCCCCGCTATTCCAGCTACTGAAAGAAGCCAAAGAAAGGAAGATAAATAAACAAAGACGCGAAGCAACTGAAGATGATGATAACGGCGTCAACGAGGAACAAAGTGAACAAAGAGAAGCGGATAGGGTAGAGAATGAGAACAACCACCCCCGTGACATGGGGGACCTGAGGAAAGAGGATGCAGAGAAAGCGGCAAGGACAACGGGTACGGCGAAAAGGGTAGATGAAGAGGCTTCAAGTACATGCAGTTCGGCAAAAAGGGCACAGGCCATGACCCACGCGAAGGAAACCAAACCCCTCGACGCAGGGGAAGCCAAAAGCCCTGAAGCAGGAGAAGAGCACCTGGACGAAAGAGAAAAGAAGGTACCCCGTGGCATGGGGGAAAGAGAAGCGATGGGGAAAGAAGCAAAGGCAAAGCAAGATGAAGGGCAGAAAGAGCGGACAAAACAGGAACCTGATCGAGGAAGGAAAGCCGATAAGGAGAAGATGGCACCGCTGACACGATGGCTGAAAGAGGCTGAAGAAAGAAAGTGGCAAGAGTGGAAAGACGAGAAAGCGGCAAGAACTGGGAGTACGGCGAAAAGGACGGGTAAAGACGAGACAAGAGCGAATAGCACGGCGAGAAGGAAGCAGGATACGGAGCCCCTTGACGCAGGGGAGACAGAAGCGGAAATACCCCGTGACATGGGGAAAAGAGGAGCAGCGAGAAGGGAAGCCAAGGTACAAGAAAAAGACCCACAGGAGCTCGAAGTACATGTGCAGGAAGAAGAAGCGAAAGCTCAAAGGGAAAAGATGGCCCCACTCTTCCGCACGCTGAAAGAAGCTAGAGGGAGAAAACTACGAATGCACGACGTGGAGTGCAAAGGGAAAGAAAAGCAGGAAGCCGAAAGAGAAAAGAACAGGGACGCCTCCGAGAACAAAGGCCGAGAACTGCCTGGTCTCCGAGGGGGCGGCGGGCCCAGCCCCGCCCCAACCTCACCACGTGAGAAAGGAAACTGCTGGGAAAACTCACCCACCTCCTCCTCCTCATCCTTCTCTTCCTCATTCGCACATTCCTCCTCGTCCCTCCTCCGTCCACCCTCCCCCTCCCCCTCCCCTTCCTCCTCAATTCCTCCTCCATCACCCTCCCCTTGGGGGAATTCCCCAACCCCTGATTCCACTGCATGCTGCTCCGCATCCTTGATCAGGGCAACTCGCCTGGGCATCGTTTCTGGATGTGCTGTTGGAATTACGCGAATCGTCTAGAGTATAACGGAGTAGAGTATATTATATTTAGCAGTAGAGTGAAGCAGGGCAGAGCAAGAGCAGAGTAGAGCAGACCAGAGTAGGAAAGGGTCGAGTAGATTAGGGCAGAGTGGAGCAGGGTAGATGGTAGAGGAGAGTCCGACATACTATAATCGAGTAAGAGTAGGGTGGAATAGAGTCCACCCCAGTCCAGTCCAGTCTACTCCATTCCAGTCTACTTTAGTCTACTCCAGCCCACTTCATTTCAGTTTCTTATGATCTAGGCGGAGTCTGCACTGGCTGATATTGGGCTCCCACCTGAAATTTCATCCGAGTGTACGACCACAAGTTGCAAGTGCGCCACGGCGACGCGGATGGACGGCAGACCCTGTTCATTATTCGCCTCTCGTATGGGACTACCAAAACAATGACAATCTAAGATTAACAATGTACAACATGGATCCTTTCCAAAACGGAGCTCTCGCTGGACAGCTACTTGAATTGTACGAGCATGTCTCCATCTATTCCTTTTCAGGGAGAGATTGTTGTTTCCTGGATTCGCTCACGAGTTGCGTACTTGCACACATGCATTGGCCCGTCGGTAATTCGAAGGCCAAAATCAAGCGAGGTCAGGCGCGCGCGGAAAACCCGAGAAGCACCTCACTGTTCGCCGTCCTCCTCCTCATCGAACTCGCCCTCCTCCTCCGCAGTGGCATCCTGGTACTGCTGGTACTCAGAGACAAGATCGTTCATGTTGCTCTCCGCCTCGGTGAACTCCATCTCGTCCATGCCCTCGCCAGTGTACCAGTGCAGGAATGCCTTGCGCCGGAACATCGCTGTGAAGTACTCAGCAACACGCTTAAACATTTCCTGAATTGCTGTTGAGTTACCTGCGAAAGCAACTGCCATCTTGAGGCCCTTTGGGGGGATGTCGCACACGGAAGCCTTGATGTTGTTAGGAATCCACTCCACAAAATATGAAGAGTTCTTGTTCTGCACGTTAAGCATTTGTTCGTCGACCTCCTTGGTGGACATGCGCCCGCGGAAAAGGGCCGCAGCGGTCAGGTAGCGGCCATGGCGAGGGTCAGCTGCACACATCATATTTTTAGCATCGAACATTTGTTGCGTGAGCTCCGGCACGGTCAGCGCGCGGTACTGCTGGGAGCCACGGGACGTGAGAGGCGCGAAGCCAGTCATGAAAAAGTGCAGGCGCGGGAATGGTATCAAGTTCACAGCAATCTTGCGCAGGTCGCAGTTCAGCTGCCCAGGGAAGCGCAAGCAAGTAGTGACACCACTGATCGCTGCACTCACTAAGTGATTCAAATCCCCATACGTGGGCGTAGTCAGCTTCAGCGTACGGAAACATATGTCATAAAGGGCCTCATTGTCAAGTAAGAAGCACTCGTCGGCATTCTCCACCAACTGGTGGAAAGACAAAACCGCGTTGTATGGTTCCACGACTGTGTCGCTCACCTTTGGGGACGGAATGATACTGAATGTCTCCATGATCCTGTCGGGATATTCCTCTCTCACCTTGGAAATGAGCAACGTCCCCATGCCAGCTCCAGTGCCACCTCCGAGTGAATGACACATCTGAAACCCTTGAAGGCAATCACATCCCTCTGCTTCCTTGCGGACCACATCCAACACGCTGTCGATCAATTCCGCGCCCTCCGTATAATGACCTTTTGCCCAATTATTACCTGCGCCAGTTTGGCCAAATCCGCCACCGCACTTGCAGCGGTTCGTGTGTCGGGCCTTCGTGTTTTGTAACTCCTGCCCCTAGCGAAACCAAAAAATGCCCCCCCCCCCCCCCCGACGCACCCAGCCCAACACGGAATCAGTTTGCTCCTCCAAGTCCCTGCACCCACTTCATTCCCAGAAGAAAATTGTTCCAAGAACGGGGGTGGGGTAGGCACGCAGCATGGATCCCCCCGCCCCGTGGCGCCAGCCCAGCGGTCCCGCACGTCTCATACTTTCTCAAGCGAACTGCTGAATACCCCGGAAGACTGACACATTCCCTGGCGGCAAGGGTACATGCATCAGCTTGCCGGGGCTGCTTTTGCGAATGTTTCAGACGCGGTCGTCCTGCAAAGCTCTCGAAATCAAACTGTTGGGGTTATGTGTAACCATTGGGTTTCTGAAGAACACATCGAAGAACGCACGCGTCGGCGCGCACAATGTCCGTGGTTTGTCCTGTCCCCTGCGTTAGTTACGAAGGTATGTTATCCAGAGCATGTTTAGTCGTAGTTGGAATAGTGATTGCAGGAAAACGGTACTCGGAGAATGAGTGCGAAGATGATGACAATAGCAAAAATGGTATGAGCAATCGTCGAAGTCGTAGTGGTGGTATTATATTTAATCGCAGCAGGAGTAGTCGTAGTAGTGTTAGTAGTAATCGTAGTAGTAGTAGTGATAGTCATACTAGTAGCAGTAGTAATAGTAGCAGTAATAATACTAGTATTAGTACTAGCACTGGTGATAGTCATAGTAATAACAATAGTAATAGCAATAGTGATAGTAGTACTAATAGTAATCGTGACAGTAACAGTAAAAGGAACAGAAATAGTGATAGTAATGATAAGGAGTATTACGAATGGTAGTAGTAGAAGTCGTCGTCGCCGTAATCGTAGTCGTCGTAGTAGTAGTAGTAGTAGTAGTAGTAGTAGTAGTAGTAGTAGTAGTAGTAGTAGTAGTAGTAGTAGTAGGAGTAGTAGTAGCAATAGTAGTAATAGTCGTAATCATAGTCGTGACCGTACTACTACTAGTAGTACTAGTAGTAGTAGGAGTAGTAGTAGCAGTAGTAGTAGTAGTGGTGAAAGACAGTAGTGGTGATAGTATTAGCAGTAGTCGTAGGAGGAGGAGGAGGAGGAGTCGCAGTAGTAACCGACTGCCCCGGATCAAAATGTCCCCCCCCCTTCCCCCGTCTAGTATGGTCATCCCAGTTCAATAAGACTTAATTGTGTCCGTCGATTATGGTCATCCCAGTTCAATAAGACTTTATTGTGGAGAGGGGCACGGAGGCCGAACTTGATAATCCACGGGGGAAGTTGCGAATCGAAGTTGCAATCATCTCATGTTGACTATCATCAAAACACGAAGCTGAGAACCTCCCCCTACGAGAGCGCCGAGTCTGCTGCGAAGTTGAAGGAAATCGAGGCCAAGAGGCTCGAGGCTGAGAGAGCAGACAAGGATACCTCCTTGTCTTCTTCCTCCTCCTCTTCCTTCTCCTCCTCCTCCTCCTCCTCCTCCTCCTCCTCTTCCTTCTCGTTATCTTCCTCCCCCTCCTTCCCCCCCAGGCCCCGAACTTCTTATCCACGGGTTTGTTTATCCCCCGCTAGGTCCCACCATGGATACCCTACATGCGAGATTGAAAACTAGTTAAAATAATCAGTGTTTACAATTTTTCTATTTTTTACTAAAAATAAAAAGCCCCGAATGCAATTTGTTTTATCGATCCTCGGGCCATCCTCTGCTCTCTTCCTTCTCCCACCCTTCTTCTTCCGCCCTTCCTTCTAGTGCTCCTATTCCTACTACTACTACTACTACTACTACTACTACTACTACTACTACTACTACTACTACTACTACTACTACTACTACTACTACTACTACTACTACTACTACTACTACTACTACTACTACTACTACGACTACTACTACTACTACTACTACTACTACTACTACTACTACTACTACTACTACTACTACTACTACTACTACTACTACTACTACTACTACTACTACTACTACTACTACTACTACTACTACTACTACTACTACTACTACTACTACTACTACTACTACTACTACTACTACTACTACTACTACTACTACTACTACTACTACGACTACTACGACTACTACTACTACTATACTACTACTACTACGACTACTACTACTACTACTACTACTACTACTACTACACTACTACTACTACTACTACTACTACTACTACTTACTATTACTACTACCACTACTACTACTACTACTACTACTACTACTACTACTACTACTACTACTTCAATCAACCCGCGTAGTAAGAATGAGCCATCTTCTCAAGGTCAGTTGCCCTTGCACCATTGCCCCTTTCGGCCCATCTCTGGGCCCAAAGAGTGCCGAGCCTGCATGGGCGAGTGGTTTGAAGCCGTGCGCAAGAAAGGTTTCTTGGCCAGAACGGCCAAGGACCTCTCTTGCGCAGGCAAGTTGTAGCCACGAGCCTCGAGATCTCTCGAGTCAGTCTTGTGCCAAGATCTACAAGGTCAGTCTACACGAACACCCAGGATCACCATCATCATCATCGTCATCATCATCATAACTTATAACTAACATCACCTTCCCCGGGAAAATCGTTGATTCTCCCCGCCAGGCCCCCGAACTTTATTAACCCTGAGTGATTATTATCTGGGGTAGTCGGTTAGTGATATGTGGTAGCGATGGAAATTGTAGCCGTATTGATGATCTAATACTCGGAATACTACTGGTGGTCGTCGTTTTCGTAATAATCGCAAGAATAAGATCCGCAGCAGTAGTAGTAGTGGTCGTCGTCGTAGTAGTCGTCGTCGTCATCGTCGTCGTCAGTCGTCGTCGTCGTCGTTGTCGTCGTCGTCGTTGTCGTCGTCGTCGTCGTCGGCGACGTCGTCATCGTCGCAGTTGTCATAATGGTGGAGAGTGCGCGTTTCACGGGCGCTTGCCTTGGGAGCATTCGGCGGCGCGTTTCGAACCGCGGGGGGGCCCCCCCCAACACTCGGCGCCGTCGATCAGAACCAGGGGGACCCCCTTCCCCCCCTAACGTCCCCCCCCCGAGCCCCCCCCTCCCCCGAGAAGGGAGGGTGGGGGATTCTGACTCCCCCAACCTTCTCTCTTCCGGCTCCCGAAGGGGGGGGGGGTCGAACCCACCCCCCCGGCGCCGGCGCCTGCGCTGGCGGCGGCCGGCAGCGCCGACGGCAAGAACGCGGCGGCGAGCAGGGAGGGCCCAGAGACCGCAGCGGAAAAACACGAATCGCCACACCGAGCCCGCGCCCTCCAGAGCCCACCGAGAGGCTCGGAGGAAGGCCCAGGAGACGCCCAAGGTGCCCAGGAGGCCTCACACATGCTCCTCAGACGCCCCCGAGGCCCCTCTGAGGAGACCCCAAGAGGCATCCATTGGAACTCTGACCCAAAGCCAAGGCACGGCGGCGGGACGACCCGAAGGCCACACCACCACCATCACCACAAACTACCACACCATCACCACCACCACCACCGACGCCACCACCACCACCACCACAACCGCCACCACAATCCACCACCACCACAACCACCACCACCACAAGCCACTGCACCACCACCGCGGCCACCACCACCACCACAACCCACCACAACCCACCACAACCCACCACAACCCACCACAAACGCCACCACCATCATCACAACAAACCACCACAAATCACCACATCACCACCACCACCACCACCGCCACCACCGCCATCACCACAACCAGCCACCACCACCACCACCACAAACCAGCCACACACCACCACCACCACCACCACCACCCACCACCCACCACCAGCACCAGCACCAGCACCACCACACCAGATGGTGAACACCACCACCACAAACCATCACGCCACCACCACCACCACAACCACCGCCACCACCACAAACCACCACCACCACCACCACAACCCACCACAACCCACCACCACCCCCACAAACCACCACACAACCACCACCGCCTCAGCCACCATCACCACCACCACACCAACCACAAACTACCACTACCACAACAACCCACCACAACTACTACCACCACCACAACCTGCCACACCACCACCACCACCCACCACAACCGCCACAACCACCACCACCACAACCACCACCACAACCCACCATCACCACCACAAACCACCACACCACCACCACCACCACAACCACAAACCGCCACACAACCACCACCAGTACCACCACCATCACCACAAACCACCACACCACCACCACCACCACCACCACCGCCCTAACCATCACCTCCACCGTCACAACAACCTACCACGTCGACGTCGACGTCGTCGTCCGCCATCACCTACCGCCGCAACCTACAACCGCCGCAACCACCACCACAACCTACCACAACCCACCACAACCCACCACAACCAACACCACCACCACCACAAACCACCACACCACCACCGCCACCACAACAACCGCCACAACCACAACCAACCACCACCACAACCTGCCACAAACCATCACCACCACCACCACAAACCGCCACACCACCACCACGCCACAACCGCCACAACCGCCACAACCACAACCACCCACCACCCACCACCAGCAGCACCACCACCACCACCACCACCAGCACCAGCAGCACCACCACCACAAACAACCACGCCACCACCACCACCACCGCCACCACCACTACCACCACCACCACCACAACCCACCACCACCACCACAAACCGCAAACCACCTCGCAACCACAACCACGCTCTCCGCCGCCGCCGCCGCCTACCGCCGCCAACGCCGGCGCCGGCCCCAGGAGAGGGAGACTGGGGAGGGGGGGGATCGAACCCGCCCCCTTCGATCCAGCGGGGGGGTCTGGTTCCGAACACCCCCCCCTCCAAGCGCCCACAGAACGCGCTCTTTCTAATAGTGGTAGTACCCGTACCCCGAGAGGCCCCCCAAGAGATCCCAGCGAACATCTAAAAGGCCTTGTACCCCCAACCCAGGCACGGTGGCGAGATGGGCCGAAGGCCATTCGATCATCCATCCTTTCCACATGCACCATGTCCTCCTCCTGCGCCTGCTGCTCCTCCTCCTCCGCCTCCTCCCCGCCTCATCGACTTCCTCCTCCTCCGCTCTTCCTTTGACAATCAACTTGTCGTCTTCGGCAACCAGATGTCACCCCAGTGTCTCATACACTTCAATAATGTGCAAGATGTGTGGCGCAATCTGCGTGAACCGATCTGTGTGGTGCAATATGTGTGTCGTGCCATGCCGCCAGCCAATTCGCGTAACGTCGCCCTGGATCGTCGCTATACCTTGCGTGCGTTGCCACGCTGCAACATGGCTGCATAGCTTCCCCAAACGCGGTAACGGATATGCGCGGCAGCGCAAGTGGATACGAAGTTGTCGGGACGAAAAAGCTGGCCAAAGGGTCCAGCACGGACGCTGTCCATGGTGCCTGGCTCCAAATCCATCAGCACGGCGCGCGGAACATAACGGCCACCTGTGGCCTCATTGTAGTAGACATTGATGCGCTCGAGCTGGAGGTCGGAATCTCCATGATAAGTGCCTGTAGGATCGATACCATGCTCATCAGAAATTACTTCCCAGAACTTTGCCCCGATTTGGTTACCGCACTGGCCACCCTGGATGTGCACCAACTCGCGCATGGCTGCCTATCGGAGGAAGCTGACTTCCGATTGTTCGGATGACCTCAGGCGTAGAACACTCGCTATGGCCAAAATGATTAGAGACACATTGTTGGCAATAAGAATAAAAGTGCTTTCGAAAAGATGGTACCAGCGCGTGGAACAAAACATTAAACATGCGCAACCCACAGGGCGACATACGGGGTGCCGTCGACGCAATGCAATTCAATCGGTAAAACTGTGGTCGCCAGCTCCAACGATCGAGTCCACATCCCACCATCCCACCAGCAACTTGTTGGTGAAACTCCAGAGAGCAAGAGCGATGCTACTCATCGGAGCTGGCTCGCAACTCTCAACAGGCGCAATAACATCCGGACCCTGCTCATGATGATCCGTGATTCGGGCGGCCGACGGCTCATGGTGACGACGACACTGGCGACGAAGACGATGCTGATGATGGTAATGGTGGTGGCGAGGATGACGAAGACGACAACAACGACTATGACGATGACGATGATGAGGACTTCGCTTTGATGATGATGCCGATGACCAGACGTGGTCCAGCTCTTGACGACGATGATGACGACTGTGATGATGTGAATGGTGAGGGCTTGCGGGCGGACTGAACTTCTGAATGCTTTGCATACTTGCAACTGGGGCCCACGGAACGTTCATATTCTGTTGCAGAACTGACTCCGTCTCGAACCCCTACCACAGCAATTGGTTTTGGAAGCAGCTCGACGCGCGCGCGCGTGGCCCGCGTGGCATTCAACAGGATTGGCAAGTGCGCGATGGTATGTCAACGTGTTCGACAGGCGCTCGCGCGTGGCCAGCATAATCTACTTCGACGGAAAAGAAAAAATGGCTCCCTTCACATATCAACGAGCGCGCGCAGAAATCTGTCAAGTTGTGGTTGAATGCGTGTTTCTATCTTCTACTGGATGTTTGAATGGATTCGGCACGCTGGCGCAGCAGCGCGCGCATGTGGCCATCATGATATGTGTTGCGAGGGGCTCTTTGAGAAACGGCTTATTAAATCAATGCATGCGTTCAGCCGCGACTGGCAGACACCCACCGTATGGCCAAGAGGGCCGCAAGACGACGCAAGAGAGCTCCAAGCCGGCGCAAAAGAGAGCTCTAAGACAGCCAAAGAGGGCCCCAACGGACCCCCAAGACTGACTCACAGGAAGCCCAGACAGCCCCAAGACGGCACAAACTAGTTCCATGAGAGCACCTCTAATAGTGGGAACGAGAGGTGACACATTTGGCAGCCTTCCTCCTCATTCTCCTCCTCCTCCTCCTCATCCTCATCCTCATCCTCATCCTCATCCTCATCCTCACCCTCACCCTCATCATCCTCATCATCATCATCATCATCATCATCATCATCATCATCATCATCATCATCATCATCATCATCATCATCATCATCATCATCATAGTCTTCATCATCATCATCATCATCATCATCATCATCATCATCATCACAATCAGAATCCTCATCATCCTCATCGCGGCTCTTCCAAGCCTGGAGACACGCGGCTTCACACATGACGGCCTCCCGTGCCCCCTCGAACAATCGCAACACGGAATGCTCGGCCGGCACGAAAGCGGGACTTTCCGCAGGGAGCTGGATATAGAGAGAAAGAGAGAGAGAGAGACAATTACCCCAGTGCGACCTTACCTAGAAGTTGGAGCCCCTAGGAAAGCAGCATTAGTTGCTATGTTATGCTATGCTGTGCTATGCTATGCCATGCTATGCTGCGCTATGCTATGCTATGCTAAGCTATGCCATGCTATGCTGCGCTATGCTATGCTATGCTATGCTAAGCTATGTTATGTCATGCTGCGCTGTGCTAGGCTAAGCTATGCTATGCTATGCTGAGCTGCGCTATGCTATGCTATGCTATGCTATGCTATGTTATGCTATGCTATGCTATGCTATGCTATGCTATGCTATGCTATGCTATGCTATGCTATGCTATGCTGCGCTATGCTATGATATGCTATGTTATGCGTGGCTATGTTATGCTATGCTATGCTATGCTAATGCAGCGCTGCGCTATGCTAAGCTAAGCTAAGCTAGGCTAAGCTAACCCTTTAGGCAGAACCTAGGTTGGGAAGTACACCCATGCTAGCCTGAGCTAAGATGAAGCTAAGATAAGCTAAGATGAAATAAGCTAAGCTAAGATGAGATCAGCAACGCTAAGCTAAGAGGAAGGTCACTGGGGGAACCGCGGGGCGGATGCCGGGGGAACCGCCCGGGGCGAGGAACACTGCCCGGCCCTTTACGCGAACCGAGTAAGAACCCTTCTAGGCAGAGCCTAGGTAGGGAAAAATGGGACGAGAAAGACCCAGAAGGAGTCGGACAAGCGGCTGCCGTGAGCCCTGACTACCTGACAACTCGCGCGCGACTTTCATGGCACGACGCGGACGCCAAGCACAAACGCAAGTTTCCGGATCGACTTCCTTTGTGGAGGCTACCATACCCCCAACCCTCAACCACAACACCTGGCATCATCGCAAGCGGTCTGAAAGGCCTGTCGGGATGCCATTGGAACTGATAACACACCTCGCGGTGGGCGCTTCCAGTCTGGCAACTGCAAGTGGTACCCACGTGCCAACTGCCTTCGATGGGAAAACTATTGGAGAACGGACAACAACAAAACGTGTTGCCAAAATCTTGGAACAACACGGGATCAGCAGATTGCAACCATTACAAAAGATAAACAGCAAATTCCGCAGCTGGTATGCCAACTATTATGGTAACCTCGACTGGTGCAACGCAACTCTCTGCTGCCAAGCCTGAATCAGCGCAGGCACAGACAGTCGCTCGGAGCTGCCTCGGGGTCCTTGATGGACGGAGCGTTGGGGATGCCGAACGGGCCGAACTCGTAGCCTGAGTTGTTGACGCCGCCCGCGATACTCTTGTTCCTGATCTCCGTCAGGGCGATGACCAGGCGGGAGCTGAGCTTGCCTGGCAGCTTGGTGGGGTCCTGGTAGGCCGCGAACAGCTCCATAGACAGGCCAAAGAGCACGATCTGGAACCAACCCACGGCGGGCACCCGCGTGATGGCGTCCAGGCCGTGGGGGACGTCGGCGAACTGTGGGGCAGGAGGAAGGAGGAGAAGGACGAGGAGGAGGAGGACGACGAGGAGGAGGTAGGAGGAGGAGGAGGAGGACGACGACAAGGATGAGGAGGAGGAGGAGGAGGCTGGCGTGGCGGGGGGGGCAGGAGGACGAGGAGGGAGGGGCCTTGATGCCGTCGGAGGGACTGAGGTAGCCGGGCCACTTGAAATACTCGGGCACGATGTAGCCGATGCACGCGATCATGCTCACGCGGCCATGCTTGATCTCCACGCAGCGGCGCCGGTAGAACTCCTGGGCGTCTCCGTCGGAGCAGTAGCCCGCAGGGTCCCAAAATCCCGTGGGCGGCTGCACGCCTAGCTCGTTCTCGAAGGCACTCGCGCCCAGCCACATCTCTGGACCAGTGGTGCCCACGGTGCCGTTCTGGAACATGAGGCCCATAATCGCCACCATCGCCAATCGGCCGTTCGCGATCTCGGCGTTCAGCTTCTGCTTGCGGACCTGCACGCCCAGAGGCAGACCGCGCGAGGGGCTTGAAGGACATTCGCGCAGAAGCAGACGCGAGAGGGTGTGGGAGGGGACAGAGAGAGACATCCGCCACCGTGCCCCCTGGCACGTCGAGGCGTGGTAAAATACCAAGTGCTGCCTGGCAGGGTTTCTCTTCTCCAAAAACGGATACACACACAGACACCCGTCAACTCGCAGATTTCTGCATGCATCGGCCCCCCCCGAGACCAGGATCCCTCGTAAAAAATGGCTCCGCGCTCCCAGTCCCAAGCTTCCACAACGGCCCATACAGGCAACCCAGGAAACCAAGATGGCCAAAGATGCCTCGAAGACAGCCCGTGATGGCCCCAAGGCGGCCGAATATGACCTAAGAAGGCCCAAGATTCCTCCAAGAGGGTCCAAAAGAGCCACAAGAGGAACCCCAACAGGGTCCGAAGAAGCCAGAACCAGTATTTGCCCTACGGTTTTTGAATGATTTTCGCATTCTCGCCGTCAGCTCAAGACGCCCTAAGAAGCCTCCACGATGGGCCAAAAATGAATCCAAGACGGCCCCAAGACTGCCCAAAGACGGCCCAAGAGGGCATTCCGTGGGACCCAGGCCGTCCTTAGAAAGCCCTTCGTCGGCCCAAGACGGCGCTAAGACGGCCCCACGAAGACCCCACCGTACGGCCAAGAGGGCCGCAAGACGACGCAAGAGAGCTCCAAGCCGGCGCAGGAGAGCTCTAAGACAGCCCAAGAGGGCCCCAACGGACCCCCAAGACTGACTCACAGGAGGCCCAGACAGCCCCAAGACGGCACAAACTAGTTCCATGAGAGCACCTCTAATAGTGGGAACGAGAGGTGACACATGTGGCAGCCTTCCTCCTCCTCCTCCTCCTCCTCCTCCTCCTCATCCTCATCCTCATCCTCATCCTCCTCCTCGTCCTCGTCCTCATCCTCATCCTCATCCTCATCCTCATCCTCATCCTCATCCTCATCCTCATCCTCATCCTCATCCTCCTCATCATCATCATCATCATCATCATCATCATCATCATCATCATCATCATCATCACCATCACCATCACCATCACCATGATCATGATCATCAGCATCAGCATCAGCATCAGCATCGTAATCATAATCCTCATCATCCTCATCATCCTCATCATCCTCATCATCCTCATCACGGCTCTTCCATGCCTCGAGACACGCGGCTTCACACGTGACGGCCTCCCGTGCCCCCTCGAACAGTCGAGACACAGAATGCTGGTCCAGTACGGTGGCGGGACTTGCCGCAGGCAGCTGAATAGAGAGCGACAGAAATGGGAAGAGAAAGACCCAGAAGGAGTCGGACAAGCGGCTGCAGTGAGCCCTGACTACCTGACAACTCGCGCACGATTTTCATGGCACGACGCGGACGCCAAGCACAAACGCAAGTTTCTGGTGCGACTTCCCTCGTGGAGGCTACCATACCCCCAACCCCCAACCACAATACCTGGCATCATCGCAAGCGGTCTGAAAGGCCTGTCGGAATGCCGCTAGAACTGATAATACACCACGCGGTGGGCGCCTCCAGTCTGGCAACTGCAAGTGGTACCCACGTGCCAACTGCCTTCGATGGGAAAACGATTGGAGAACGGACACGACAACAAAACGTGTTGCCTAAATCTTGGAACATCACGGGATCAGCAGATTGCAACCATCACAAAAGATAAACAGTAAGTTCCGCATCTGGTATGCCAACTATTATGGTAACCTCGACTGGTGCAACGCAACCCTCTGCTGCCAAGCCTGAATCAGCGCAGGCGCAGACAGTCGCTCGGAGCTGCCTCGGGGTCCTTGATGGACGGAGCGTTGGGGATGCCGAACGGGCCGAACTCGTAGCCTGAATTGTTGACGCCGCCCGCGATACTCTTGTTCCTGATCTCCGTCAGGGCGATGACCAGGCGGGAGCTGAGCTTGCCTGGCAGCTTGGTGGGGTCCTGGTAGGCCGCGAACAGCTCCATGGACAGGCCGAAGAGCACGATCTGGAACCAACCCACGGCGGGCACCCGCGTGATGGCGTCCAGGCCGTGGGGGACGTCGGCGAACTGTGGGGCAGGAGGAAGGAGGAGGAGGAGGAGGAGGAGGAGGAGGAGGAGGAGGAGGAGGAGGTAGGAGGAGGAGGAAAAGGAGGCGAGAAGCGGGGGGAGAAGAAGGAACAGGGCAGGAGCTAGGAAGGAA